TGTTGCCAGGTGCCGCCAAGGATCTGTCAGGTTGCTCTCAGAGGCCCCCAGCGCCCTCCCGAGAAAGTGGTCCCAAGAGCCTCTCAAGATACACCAAGAGGCCATGCTTCCCCTCTGATCCTCACTGCAATCGCAGTGGCAAGAAATATACTCCACTCTCGGCTGCTCGAGTCGAAACATTAACGGACCATCCCAGATGCCTTCGGAGTCGACGCCTCGATGGGCTCCCCCGGAGACTCCCTCGAATACCTTGGGCCCCCCCTCTCAGCTCCCGGAGTCGACGCCTCGCAGGAGGCCCCCCCTCCCTCTCAGCCCTCGGAGTCGACGCCTAGACGGATCCCCCCCCCCCCCCTCTCAGCCCTCGGAGTCGACACCTACTACGTTTCCCCCCTCCCTCTCAGCCATCGGAGTCGACGCACCCCCCTCCCTCTCAGCCCTCGGAGTCGACGCTTCGACGGATCACCCCCCTCCCTCTCAGCCATCGGAGTCGACGCCCGGATCCAGGCGTCGACTCCGAAGGCTGAGAGGGAGGGGGGGGATCCGTCTAGGCGTCGACTCCGAGGGCTGCGAGGGTGCCTTGGTCCTCGGAGTCGACGCCTCGACGGATCACGCACGCGCACACGCCCTCTCAGCCCTCGGAGTCGACGCCTCGACGGATCACCCCCCTCCCTCTCAGCCCTCGGAGTCGACGCCTGGATCCAGGCGTCGACTCCGAGGGCCGAGAAGGAAGGGTGGAGGAAGCGTCGACTCCTAGTGATTTAAACAGTGACGTCGTTGGACATCCAAGCTCTGCTGCTAGTCTAACGGCCCCGCAACGTTGAGCGCATATCCACGTGATGGGATGCGAAAACCAGGCTGAGAGGTAGGGGGTCAGCACACCCCTCAGACTCAGAGCGCCTGGTCGACCAGGAGGGCTGAGTCAGAGGGGGTGGGGGATGTTCAGGTTTTTCCCCCCCTGCCTCTCAACTGAGTCTCGGTTTCACCCCCCTCGCTCTCAGGCCCCCTGGTCGACCCTGAGGTCTGAGGAGGGAGGGGGGGATGCACCCCCCCATCACAGCTCAGCTCTGCCCTAACTTAAGTTTGGGTTAGCTTCAGCTAGCGCCCCTGCCACGTAGGCGTTGGCCCGCCCAGATAAGAACTAGGCTCCACCTGACGTTTTGGCACAAGCCCGATCGTCGGACCATCAGTGCAGCGTCAGGGCAAGCTTTCGATTTTCGAATCGTTTGCAGTATGGCCAGCAGCGCCAGCGGGCCAGAGCCTGTGCGGCGATGCCCACAAGTCCTGAAGGTTGCCGTGGACTTCTCCGGATGCAACGCCCCCTTCGTGGCCCTGGAGAATTTGGACCTACGCTTGAATCACGTCTTCGACGCCGACGCGAGCCAGAATTGTCAGGAGATGTGCAAGGATATCCACGGTGCCCAGATCATGTATGGTGACGTGAGGGATCGGGACATCACCGAAGCTCCATCATGTGATTACATCCACTTCAGCCCACCGTGCACCACGTTTTCGAACGAGGGGCTTCGTGAAGGAGCCAACGTCGAAGAAGGCCGTCTTTGGAAGCAGTCTGTCAAGTACATCCAGTATCACAAGCCCCGTCTCATCTCCTACGAGATGGTCGCGAGCATCAAGCACAAGAAGCATAAAAAGGCGAGCTGACCAAGATGGCAACGGCGCTGAAGAGGGCCGGCTACGCGCTGCTTTCAAAGTGCTGAACGCCAAGGACATGGGCGTGGCGCAGAGCCGCCACCGCGTTTACATGGTGGGGTTTGCCAACTGGAAGAGCAAGTTTACGCGGCCGAGCAAGGTGCCCATCAAGTGGGCGGCAGAGAACATCATCAAGCGCAAGGACACCGACAATGCTAAGCGCCTGCCGCGGGCGAGCGCCCCTCGCGCCAGGCGCCTGGTCTCCCAGGCGTATAGGAAGATGCTCGAGAGGAAGATTGACCCTAGGAACGCCACCAGCTTCGTGGATGTCGGCTGCAGCCTCAACAGGGCGACAAACGCCCGCATCGACGTGCTTCCCTGCGTGACGGCGACCCGCGCGATGGCCATGGACTGGCGGGTGTCGCCCCGGGGGGGGGCGCATCACAATCCAAGAGCTCTTCGCGTTCCAGGGATTCCGCCCCGAGTCCTACAAGAAGTGGTCCAAGTTGGGAATCACTGACCTTCAAATCGCCAAAATGCTCGGGAACTCCATGAGCGTTTGCGTCATCGAGCGGGTGTTGGTGGAGGCCTTGTGGGCCGCTGGGCTTGTGACGGAGAAGCCTGTCGACCGCTGGGCCCCACGGAATGCGGCATATGAGTGAGCTGGCAGATGTTTCAAGTGCCGAATCAGGTCCGATCAGATCCTTGAACGTGTTAGTCGTGGTGATCGCTAGGACCAGCTCGTTTGTTGTGCAATTTGTGGCATGCTGCTGCTACTGTAGTGTTCGCTACATGTCACCTGTATGGGTTAAGTTATGCATAAGAGCTGAGGAGTAAGGAACAGGGGGGCACGGCGATGAGAGGCACCCCCATCCATTCAGAAGACCTGCCCGTGAGAGCTGACGGGAAATGGAAATACGAGACATATAGTGAGTCAGAGTGGCAGGGCAGGAGGGGGGATGGGAGGAGAGTGCTGTGCCATCAGAAGCTACCTCGGTGATCGATTGGAGAGGCTTTACGGCCGGTGCCGCGACGATGACGACACTGCCGCGGGTCAGAGTCATCAGGGATGCTTCTTGGGGTCTCTTCGGCGCGCTGGGGTGTAGATTTAGTGAGGCTGCGTGATAGATTTCAAATCGGCGCTGCTCCTTCGCATCGTGGAACCATCTTCGGGCTCTTTTGGGTGCCTCGGGGCCCTCTTGGGGCTGTCGTGGTGCCCTCTTGGGGCCACCTTGGAGCCCCCCTGGGGCTCTCTTGGGGCTGTCTTGGGAGCCCTTCGAGGCTATCGATCAAAGGAGGGGGGTCCCTATCCACGCCCCCCACCCCTGGGGCCCTCAGAACCGCTCCTGGAACTCTCTTGGGGCGCTTTGGGTGCGCTCTTGGGGCCGTATTGGGGGGCTCTCGGGCCCCTCTTGGGGTCTCCTTGGCCGTCTTGGGGCCATATTGAGGCCCCCAGAGCGCAGTGGGCGCGAAACGGTGAGAAGGCACACATCCCACATGATGTTCCTTAGGTTGTTGAGTGATTTTGAATTCTTCGAGGGGTCCTGAGGGGTCTCCGAGAGCACTTGGAATCATTTGGGGCTTGGGGATTCTTGGAAACATGATGGAGGTCATGTTGAGCAATCTTGCACTATCTTGAAGCATCTTGGAGGTCATCGGAGCATCGGAGGCCCGGAGGCCCTATCTTGCGCCATCTTGGACGCCCTCACCGCTCGCGGACCCCCCCCCCCGAAAAAAAAAAGAAGCACTGGGAGGGGAGGTGGAGGGTACCCTTCAGAAGGAAAAAGGGGTTCGTTTGAAAGATCTCGTTAGACCATCTACGCCCAGAGTTCTGGTGGGACAACCTCGCCCCCAGGGTCTGCACTTCGGCGCGCAAGTCTTCTCCGATCAAGCCTTTCACCTATATGTTCACTGTCAGGGGTCCTGCAACATATTGAAATCATGCTTTATCACAACACGCGGGTTCCTTGATGTTGAGTTCCACGTCTGTGCATTCTTGAGTTACGGTGTTCGGGAGTAGTGAATTGACAGCTGATGCAAGTCGGGAGAGCCAAGTCTAATGCACGCTCAGCTTTGATTTGCATTTCCACTTCTCCCCTTCCATGGTTATCATTATCGTCACCATGGCCATCGCCATTCACTCCAAGATCTCAGCGAGTTCTCAGCTTTCGGGTCCGGTGCGTCGTGCGCCCGCCCTCACTTTCGGGTCCGGCGCGCGCGCCCACCTTCGGCGGAATGCACCTGTGCGAGATGGGTCGGGGCAGCAACAAGGGCGGCAAGGTCGGCGGCAGGGTCGGCGGCAAGGGCGCTGGGCGCGCTGGCGGCGGCCGCCGTGCCGCCGCGCCGCCGCCCGAGGACGAACCCCTCTCCACGGCATTCGGCGATGAGGCTTTGCCAGATACTGCCAAATATGCCAACATCAACGTGGACTACCATGCTAAGGTGCAGTACTGGGTGAACCAGCTGGAGCCCCATCCGTTGATCGGTGAATGCTTCAAGCCAGACGCCACGCCCTTGACCGTTCCAGAGGGCGCCACTGTCGAGCCCCTGAACATCGACAGCTGGGAGGCTGCCTTGAAGCCTCATGCGGTTGTGGAGAAGCCGACCTTCGTCATGCGCGCGGAGTGCCCATTTTTCTGTGCCTCTCACTTGGTGTGCCCGGTGGCAGGCGTCAAGATCAGCATCTCCGACGTCGAGGCCAGCATCTCACTGCATCTGCCTATCTGGTAGTTCTTTCCCCCCGCCCTCGATTCAGGTGGCACCCTGGGGTGGGGGGGGGGGGGGGCGAAGTGCCAGAGAGGTAGGTGTAATAGAAATCACCCAGGCGATCATCACCCAGGACTTCGGCCCCCCGGCAGCGAGTTCGAGAATGCCAGCCGCTCTCCGGACGGTCAGTGTTGGGATGACGGACTGCAACGTTGGCTTTGGCAGGTTCGATGCTTTGCGAGGCCGGCTGCCACGGGTCTCACCGTGCGAGTTGGCAAATGCACCAATATACCAGTGCTATCAGGAGATGCAGCAGGCTTGGTTCGACGACACCAGGGCTCGTGAATGGGTGCGTTTGTTCATGTCCACGGAGTTTGAGTTCTGGCGCTTGAACACGAAGGACGTGTCGTTGCACAATTTCAGGATACATGTTTAGAGACAGTCCTCGTTATCCTCCCCTAACTCTTGCTTCTCTTCCCCCCTTATCCTCCAACTCGTCCACCTCCTCCTCTACTTTAAGTCCTCATCTTCATCCCCGTCCTTTCCCCTTCATCTTCCGCCTCATCTCTCCATCCTCTTTCTTTGAGTGCATGCTTTCATCCTTGGCGTTCCTGATAACAACTGCCCCCAGTGTTCGTGAGAACCTCATGTCGACGGCGGTGGCGGTCAAGTGGGCGCTCATCCAGCGCGCGCAGCTGGTGATCAGGGAGGCCGCGGCGCTGGCAGCGGCGAAGAAAAAGACGAATGCATCCGCCGCCGAAGTGCAGAAACATTTGACTAAAGTGAATCTGGCCCCCGGCAGCGAGCCTTTGACTTTCAACTTCGTGGGCGTGGCCTTGAGCAGCTCGGAGAAGATGCTGGGGGGGGGCCAGAGATCACGGAGATGTTGGAGTGGCAGGATGCTTTCTACCACAAGAACGGCCCGCTTTCACACATCACCAAGTGGCAGGCCATCATGAATCGGTGCAAGAGCGATCCCGCCAGCATCCGCTGGGTGTTCAGTCACATGATCGACTTCTTGAAAGCTGGGTTTTACGAGGCGTCAGACTTAGCAGCTTCGAAGCTGAATCGTATTGTTTGTGACGTGTCTGCTATGAAGAAAAATATTCGGATTCATGCTCATCGAAAGCTACTTGGCCAACCAGGGCGTGGAGACTGACGACCTCCGCGAGATTCGAGAGCTGATGTTGTCCCACAAGACCTACAGGCAGCACCTGACGCCTTTGCCATGCGCCAGCGACCTGGACGTCCCAACGCAGACCTTGAATGTGGAGCCGAAGCACCTTTTCACTGTTGCACTGGATGGGTCTACCAAGCGACGTGAGAAGTCGTTTATCATGAGCTTGTCCCTGTGCGAGCAGGTGCTGCACGGGCCAGAGTACGACCACAACTTCAAGACAGCGGTGCGGAATTCCAAGACAGCGGCAGACGTGCTCACATACGCCCAATTCGAGGAGGCCCTCAAGGAGATCAAGGATCAGGTGAAGAAAGAGAAGCAGACTAAGATGCTCGAGCAGGGATTGCCAGTGCCCCTTGAGAAGCCTGACCAGGACAGTCCGCCGCCCGAGGCCAACGACCAGCCAATCGCTTCGCAGTACAAGAGCCTGGACGAGGCAATGAAGAATGCAACTCATGACGATCGAGAACACTGGAACCGTGCTGCACGCAAGCTGAGCAGGGATTGGAGCAAGATCTTCGCCCCGAAGGATTCCGAGAAGGAATTCATCGAAGAGATCGCGTCCTCCGAGATGGGCTGCGGCAAGGGGGCCTTGGCTGGACTGACCTTGATTCATTACAATGCGGATCTGTGCGGTGGGTCTGACCATGCGCCGAGCACTCGCCCTTGCAATTTCCAGAAAAAGGCTTGCGACAGGCTCGTGAAATCGTCTTGCAGGCGAGGGCGAGGGCCGACGGCAGCGAGGCTACTTTGAAGAATGGTATCGGTCGTTTCAAGTTTCTGGCTCAGCCCTGCCGCCCCAAACCCCGCAGGGTAGGATGTATGTCTCAACCTCTTAGCATCTAACCCTGTGGGTGATTGGGTAACATTAGAAGAAGAAGAAACTGCGCAAACATAAACGATTGGCGATCCGCGCGAACTTCTTGGATCTACGTTGCACCTCCCTTCCCTGGCACGGCGCCGGAGGCGCCGCCGGGGTGGGCCCAGCGCAGATCCAGGAAATCCGCGCGGAGCGCCAGAAGTTTATGTTGCTGCCTTTCCTCTTCTTCGAGACAAGGCTGAGCCAGCTTGAAACGCCCTAGGTGAGATTGCCGTGCTCTTCGACGGCGGCAAAGCTCCAGTCGCGAAACAACTACTCCACCCCTTCAGATGGTAAGTGTGAGCAAGAACCCTAACCCACACCACATGGCCTTATTCATTCTGGAATACCCCTGACAAAACTTTTAGTCCCAGGGATGCCGAAATTGCAATGAGAAGTATCTAGACTGGGGTCATGGGGATGGGTGGGGGGTGGGGGGTTCTGCTTCATGTAAGGGCTGGTGCCCTCGGCGAGTCCAAGTCCAAGAAGAAAGACGACGAGGACTGCGCCGGCGAGGCCGGCGGTGGTGAACACGATGATGAGGTTGACATTGGCGAGGGCTCCACTGCACAAAGGCTCGCGCCACGCAAGATTATCGTCGTCAAGGGCGAGAAGAGCGTCAGGGAGCGTAAGGTCCTTTCTCGTGGAGCGGCGTCTATCAAACAGACTGTTGGCATGCAGCTGGCATCTACATCGGCTCTGAGCCTGCCGGAGAGGCAGTCCCTGAACTACTCGGGGACGAACAAAGGGACCTTTATCGGTCCAGTGGCGCTGCGCCCGCTGCCGGAGGAATGGTCCACGACCGTTGCCAACAAGAAGAAGATGCTGGGGGAGTTCCGCATCAGGGCTGGCGGCAAGACGGAGGGGGACACCAAGCGCCTGGACACGGACATCGAGCCCGTGCGCTACCTCGCGTTCCCGCCCGAGCTGTGCGCCGAGCTGCTCCACCGCTACTATGTGGTGAACGTGATTGATCTCACGCCGGGGGACTTCACCTTTGGGGGGGTCTGCATGGATAGACGTATCACCTACTACGCGATTGCGCGGTCGGAAGAGCACGCCGAAGCCGGCCGTGAGAAGCTGGGCAAGGCTGCCTTGAAGTGCCTGGCCACCGTCGGGCACGCCCACCACAATCAGAAGTGCACGGGCGCCCTGAAGAGCAAGCGCCCCATCGACGTCGACGAGGACTCAAACCAGCCGCCACGCCCGATGAAAAGGAAGAAGGCCACGCCGAAGTCCGAGGCCCAGCCGCCGGCGGGCGAGGGGGAGGGGCCTCCTGAGGAGCCGCTGGTGCTCAAGGGTAAGGCCAAGCCTAAGGGCAAGCCGAAGGGCAAGCCCAAGCCGAAGGTCGAGGCTGAGGAGGGGGATGACGACGATGAGGCAGGCTCTGAGTGGGACCTGTCGGGTGAGGATGACAAGTGAGCAGGCTCTCGCCATGGCAGCTCGTTCGCCTGCTCGTGCGTAGGCCGGTCAGCTCTGGTGGGCTTCAAGGTTGTCGGGGGAGCTCGGAGGATGGAGCCAGTACTAGGTCTCAGGGTCGAGGGGCAGTTGCAATGCATGCGCTGCGCACCTGTGTGAATATGTTGGCTCCCCTCTTAGCTTCACTGTCACAAGAAGCAATAACATAACATGCAAAGAGCCCCACAACTACCACAATATCTCTTGACCCGGCGCCTGTTGCCGACCATGCTGCTAATACACTCTTACAGCTATGTGCTGCTGTAGACTGCTCTCTGGCCGCGTCGAGGCAACATCACGATCATCATCACCATCACCACCACTACCATCATCATCGCCATTCGAGCCATCAGCATCATCATCATAATCATCATCGCCGTCATCATCATAATCATCATCAGCATCACCATCATCACCATCAGCATCCTCATCATCATCTTCGTCGTCATCATCGCTATCATCATCACTACGTTAGCCATCATTGCGGTCAACCCGTCGTCATGTTGGTGCAAACCCTTCGTTAGGATACCACAGGTTTGGGGCTGGCTTTGGTTGTGCGCATCTCTCTGAGGCTCTGCAAGGGGATCCCAAAATGCCCCGCGAGGCCCACGGAGGCCCCAATGGGCCCCTGCAGAGCATCACATGAGCCCCAGCCGGAGGAAACGAGACAAGCCTGAGCAGGGAGGCAAGGATGAGTGAGGTTATCCTCTCCTTTCTCCTCGTCCTCCTCTTCCTCCTCAGCCTCAGCCACCCTCCTTTCTTCGTCTGGTTCACGGGGAACGTGAATAGCCAAGCGCCTCGTTCTCAACTTCTACCCCTACATGCTCCTCCTCCTCCCCCTCCTCCTCCTCCCCCACCTCCTCTTCCGTCTCCTCCCCTTTGTTATTCCTCCTCCTTGGCCACTTCACCTTCCTAAGTTTCCACGTGTGCCGCGCTTGGGGGCACGGGCTAGGCGACCCAGCCCAACTCGCCCGCGGGGCGCCGAGCGCGTCGGCATTTCTGGCTGAACGCGCGCGCGCGGGCAGACTCCACCTCCTTCCGCTTGTTCCTTCAGCCGTTGCTCCCGCGTCTTCTCTTGTTTCTTCTTCTCCTTCTCATCCTCCTCATCCTCCGCCTCATCCAACTATTCCATTCATGATCCTACTCCTCCTCTCCCTCCTCCCCCCCTCTCTTGTTCCATCCTCTTCCCCGCTCATCCCTCGTCCTTCTCCCCCCCCCCCTCCACCTCGCCAGTTTGCGCGGTGGTGGACTTGGGCGACGTGCGCGCTTAGTCGGCGAAATCCAACGACAACGTGGCGGTGAAGGGCAAGTGGACTAACCCCCCACCCACGATAATAGCCCCCCCCAAGTCGTTAGAGTTTTTCATCGTCGACCAATGAGAGTTTGGTCGGGGGCGCGGGGGCGCGGAGGCCGAACTTCATTATCACGGGGGAGGTTCGCCATCGAGGTTACTTCTTTCTTATGTTGAGATAACAGCATCAAGCGAAGCGAACGCGTTGTTTCAGGATGTCTCAAGCGAAACCATTGTCCTTCTGTCTCTTGGTAGTTCTTTATGTCTCTCTTTCTTTCTTTCTCTTCCCCCCTCTGGCGCCCTGGACTTGTTTATCGCTGGGGTTGGTTTTCCTGGGGAAACGAGGCGCGTGAGCTACCCTACACGAGCAGATGAAGATTTTTTCAATTTCATCAAGCGTTTACACATTAAATCTAGTAAGTTTTATATGTTGGATTGTTGCTATTTCCTTCTCCTCTCCTCCTCTTGCTCTTTCGCCCCCTCCCCCCTCAAGGATGTCTCAAGCGAAATAAGCAATAATTTGAAGATGTCTCAAGCGAAACAGACAAATAATTCGAGGATGTCTCAAGCGAAACAAGCAATTCGTTGGGGATGTCTCAACAGAGACAATTCTCAAGAAATCTTTGGCTTTTTTCCTCTTGATATCTCTTTATGCTGGCTCTGGCGGGCAACTTTTATTATCTCCCCGAAAACCCCGAACTTTACTATCCCTGGGGGGGTTATTCTCGTGGGTTCATGGTTAATCGACCCACTCATAAATCTAAGAGTCACATAACTAGTTGAAGCCTCAGATGGGGGATGGTGTCACCACTTCAGAAACGGATGGTGATGCAGCTACGTGCTCCCCGCACCCTCTCGTGCGTTCCCGCCATGGCCAACGAACCCCCCGAAAACCTTGACCCTTGATCGTAGATTATCATCCTCCCCCTCCTCCTCCTCCTCCCACTGCCCCTCCCCCTCCTCCTTCTCCTCGCGTTGGCTCCCCGCGCGCGCTCCCAACGCACTAAAGGACATCGTGCGCCGCGGAACCGCATAGCGGCAACGTGCGCTGACGAGCCCATGGCCTCCTAGAGCCCCAGGGCCCTTGCTAAGGCAAGGCAAGTCGACGCGAGGGACGTGCAAATCATCGGCTCGTATAACGATAGATGGCGATTCTCGAAGTCGGGAGAGCACGAGCAATGTCACGATCCTCGGGGCGATCTTCATCGGGGCGAAGGTGGTGGTTTCGATCGGGCACCTCCTGTTCCGGAGCACGTCTGGGGGGAGACTGGTGCCGAGTCGCTTCCTTCCGATGGGCCTCTGGAGATCGCCGAGTTCACCTCGAATCTCGATCGGCGACCTGGACTCTCAACCACCTGGCCAGGACTTCCTCGTCTCACAGCAAGCGTCACCTCATCCTCGGAGATGCCATGACCGTGATCCTTTCGCGGACCAAGGGCCGAGGCGCTTCTTTCGGGCTCTGCCGCGTCCTTCGGCGGTCTGCCGCCCTTGTGCTGGCCGCCAACCTGCCCCCCCCGCGTGGCGATGGCTGCCCTCTGAGTGGGGCGCGGCCGACGCGGCCTCGCGCGGACGCCAGGGCACTTGCGCTTGAGGCTGGAGCCCGGGGGCCGCGCCTGCGCCGCCGCCTCGCCGAGGCGCGCATGCTGGCGCGCGGGGCGGGGGCCCGGCGGGTCGCAGACGCTTTCCCCTCGCCGAGCCGCCCTGCCCTGAGGTCGAGGACCTCGTCCGCGGGTACGGCGTCGACGACGGCCGCGACGAGCTCGCCGGGGACCTACGCTTCCACGGACGCGTTCCCAGGCGCAGGGGCGCGGCGCCCGCGCCCGCCCCGCCAGGCTCGCGCGGTCCGCGAGGTCGGGCTCGGGCGAGCGGCGCGCGGAGCGGCCCGCCGGGCAGCCCGCCCGCCAGCGCCGCGGGCGAGAGGCGCCCCAGGCCAGCGGACCGTGCTGGGGCGTCGGTCAGCGCCCGCGCGGCAGGAGAGCGAGCACCGGGACCAGTACGACAGGTTCCTGACTTGGGCGAAGCAGCAGCGGCTCAGGACGAGCCGCCTGGAGGATCTAGAGGCGACGTTGGTGGAGATGCTGAATCAGATGTTCTACGACGGCTGGCGGTCCGACACCGCCTCTAAGATGGTGGCAGCGGTGGCGCACTTCCGCCCCGAGGCAGGGCCGGGCTGCTGCTCGAGCCTCTCGCGAGTGCAGCTGGCCCGCCGGGGCTTCTCCCGCCTCGGCCCGCCGCAGGCCGGGCTGCCGCTGCCGTGGGCCGCGGCCTGCCTGGTGGCGCGGCGGCTGGCGCAGGACGGGAGTTGGCGCATGGCCGCCGCCGTCCTCCTCGCCTTCATCCACTACTTGAGGCCATGCGAGCTGCTCCGCCTACGGGAGTGCGACCTGGTGCCGCCTCCGCGACAGCCCCGCCAGCGAGGGCGCAGGTGGGGCGTGATCCTCCACCCCCAGGAGCTCGCCATCACCTCGAAGACGGGCGCCCGCGACGAGACGGTGCTCGTCGACAACGTGGAGGAGTTCGCGTTCTTGGAAAGGCTCCTCGCCCGGCTGCGCGGCAGCGGCGGCGAGCAGCTCGTCTGCCCTTTCAGCTACCGCGAGTGGGCGAAGGGCTTCGAGGCGGCCTCGACCGCCGTCGGCCTGGTCGGGGACTCGCTGCCGGTGCTCTACATGCTGAGGCACGGGGGGCCTCCCACGACGCCATGGCGGGCGCGCGGGGGCTCCGCGACGTTCAGGATCGAGGTCGGTGGATGACGGAGCGATCCGTAGTCAGGTACAAGAAAGGAGGGCGAGTGAATCAGCTACTCCAGGGGCTGCCCGAGGCGGTGCGCCGCGCCGCCGACAGCGCCGTGCAGAACATTTCCGTGTGGATCCTGCGGAGCTGAGTCGGCGCTGGAGGGCTTCAGCATTCCCGAGGGGGCTCCCTGTTGAGCTTTTCTCGGGTTCTGGCCGACTGAGTGCGGCCTGGAGGCAGCATCCCAGGCTTCGAGGCACCCCGATCTTTGAATTCGATTTCAAGTTAAGTCCAGAGCATGACCTCTCTCGTCGGAGTTTCCAGAGGTTTCTGCGCTCGAGGCTCCTGGAAGGAACCCTGCGGGCCGTCTGGATCCGACTCCCGTGCAATAGTTTCAGTACTGCTCGTAACAGGCCCAACGGGCCAGCGACCCTTCGGAGTGCATCTTTTCCCTCGGTAGTGCCAGGGCTCAAGCCCTGAGACGACAAAGCCGTCAGAACGGGAAACGCTCACGCCTCGTTTTGTGGTGGGCTTTTGAAGTTGGCGCGTAGGTCTGGGGTTCCGCCCGTGATCGAGAATCCTGGCCAGAGCTGGGTGTAGAGTCACCCCGCCCTGTCCCTGCCTTCCCCGTCCTCGTCGTCGTCTCCCCCTCCTCCTCTTGATTGAATCGCTTCGCTCATTCCGCCGGCCCGTGATATGGCATCGCTGGTTTTTGTCTGTGTGTTCGTTGCCCATGTTGCGCTCTTGGGGGCGGGTGTCGTTCGGACGCGTTGCGTGGGGAGTTTTGATGGTGAAGCAGTTCCCTGGGGGTCGTCTCTCGATGGGGCGAAATAGAGTCGTCGTCAAGATGCTTCTTTGGGGGGCCTCTTGGGGTCTGTTGAGAGGCCGTTCGGGGGCGCCTGGGAGACATGTTTGAAGCCTTCTGGGGCTTCTTTTGGGCCTCCTGGGAGTCTCCTGGGGCCTCTTGGCGACATCTTGGGGCCTCTTGGAGGCCTCTTGGGGCCTCTTTGGGACCTCCTGGGCGCCTTCTGGGACGGAGGGCTCCATTTTTGAGTTCTCGGTATCCCTCCTGAGTCCCTCTTGGGCCCGTCTTGGGGCCTCTTGGTCCGTCTTGGGCGGCACTTGGGCCGTCTTGAGGGCTCTCTTGGGTCGTTTCGGCGCCGTCTTGGGAGCTTCGTGGGCCGTCTTGGAGCGGTCTTGGGGGCCTCTTGGGCCGTCTTGGAGCGTCCGGAAGCCGAAAAAGCCAGAACACAAAAAACATAGAAAAAACCAATGAAAATCAACGATTTTGGCCTCTTGGGGCTCTCTTCGGAGGCCTCTTGGAAGGCTCTTGGGGCGTCTTGGAGGCCTCTTGGGCTGTCTTGGGGGCCTTTTGGGCCGTCTTGGGGTCATCTTCGGCGTCTTCGAGCGCTCTTTGGGCGTCTCGGGGGCCTCTTGGGCAGTCTTGGGGGCCTCTTGGGGCACTCTGAGCGCGCTCTGGGGAGCCTGAGAGGCCGCACCCAGAAGGAAAACCATTTCTGAGTAGACTTGGTCGGGCGGCGGTCGGGCGGCGGTCGGGCGTTGGTCGGGGTACTTTTCGCCGGGGGACCCCCAGGGGCCGCCCCGCGCGCGCGAACTAGAAATACTGTTAATACTGTTAACCAGTTACCGGAGATCTTAGCACGCCCTGGCCCGTTGGGCCGGCGAATTGTTACACCGATTTTTGCATGGGCGAGACCGCCTGGAGAAAGCGCACCCGTTTCAGAGCTGTGAATGTCGACCTCGGCCCCGCGGTGAAACATTGTTGTGGCCGGGGAGTGTGCACACGGTCCAATATTCCCCACATGCAGCTCGAGGGCAAAGACCTTCACGGTGTATTCTACACCAAGATCGCCGAAGCGTGCCCTCGTCAATTGTGCAGACGTGTAGTGCAGTGGTTCTCCGTTGCCCTCCTCGCCCAGCACTCTCGTGATTTCCGTGCTTATCTTGAGTAATGCAGTCGGCCGAGCAAGTCGGCCATGATAGCCAATGTGGTCTACTTCCTGGTTATGGGTGTGTGTGTATAGCCCGAAAATTATTCCCGAATGCTATTATCGGGCTGCGTCGCCGTCCTCAGAGCACGCGTTCACCTTTCACACAGATAATCCGTGGCCCTCGGCAGCGTTGCACGGGAAAACAGATAACCCGATCTTTAGATGCATATCTTTGTGACGTTCAGAGCTGGAGAGGGCCGTCCGTTCCCATCCTGGCTCAAGCTCCCTGCTTCGCTTCCCTCCCTCCCCACTTTCACCAGTCAGGGTGTGTGTGTAAAGCCCGAAATTTATTCCAATTTATTCCCGAATAATATTCTCGGGCTGTGTCGCCGTCCTCAGAGCACGCGTTCACCTTTCACAGATAATCCGTGGCCCTCGGCAGCGTTGCGCGGGAAAGAAGATCCTCCTCCTCCTCCTCCTCCTCCTCCTCCTCCTCCTCCTCCTCCTCTTCACGCTCGTAAACAATGGCATCGAGGCACATTGATCTTTGCCTGTGGCCCAAGGTCTACAGTAAAGCTGGATTGGCGCGTAAAGCCCAAAAGGCGCCAGCGTCAGGGTTGTTAGGTCTCCGTCAAGGGGCTCCAACTCCTACTCCAACTCCTCGTCTGCCTCCCCGCAGCCTGCGATCGGGCGTTCTGTTGAAGCGCGCTGCCGCGGAGGCCCGCGCGCTCGGCGGCCGCGGCGGCGGCGGCGCGGGAATCCTCCTTGCAGTGGACAGCCGCGCGAGGTGCCCGAGGGCCTTGCGATCGCCCTGCAGGCTGCCGCCCGCGCGGGTCCCAGGCGTGCTCGCGTCTTGAGGATCGGCGGCGAGCGAGGGGGGAAAGTGAAAAGGAGCAGGCCTCCTCAGCAGGCGGCGGGACTTCTCAGAAACCCTCGCGCTTTGGAGACATGGCCTGTGTCCTGGGGGAAAGTGTGGGCAACTCCTCAGTAGGCCTCGGGACTTCGAGCCTTCTGAGACGGCCTGCCCCTTCTCTAGGGGGCCACATGCGAACCCTACCCCATAGCCCCCCCACGATTTCTGAGTTCGCTCGTGGCCCCACTCCCCCCCCCAGGAATCGCAGGGGGGTAGGGTTAGGGTTCGCATGCGGCCCCCTATTCTCGATTCCCCCCTAGGCTCGCCGCTGATGCTCGCGTCGTCAACAAAAACTGGCGGGCGGTATCTGGCCCTGCTCGGCCAGCGGAGGCCTCCGCCCTGCCTGCAGGACCCTCGGGAAGCGGCTTGGGGTGGAGTGCCGGCCTCATGGAACGAGTCGGGACGTCTGGGGGCCCCGCATGGAGGAGGATGATGATGATGATGATGATGATGAGGAGGAGGAGGAGGAGGAGGAGGAGGAGGAGGAGGAGGAGGAGGGTCGATGTCGCTGGGGATCGGGGCTCTCTGGCATTTCTGGCCCTCTGTAGGCTCCCAGGGGCCTCTGGAAGCCTTTGGGGGGGGGACCCAGGAGATCAGGGCATCGCGCAGGCTGCTGGGCCGCGGGGAGATGCCGGCGAGGGCTGCCGATGGCAGCCCTCGACCGCGGCTCGTGGTCGACAGCTCTCCGCGGAAGACGCTGCTGAAGAGCAAGGCCCGGAGCGCCATCATCTCGCAGCGCTTAGGCAAGGTGGCGGAAGCGCCCAACTCGCTGGAGGTGTTCGGGTGCAACATCTGAGAGGTCAAAGTATGACGTTGCCCTGGTCCGAAATCCGGCTCAATCCTGCTTAATCCCGCTTAATCCGGCTCAAACCCGCTTAATCCGCGGCCCACTCCGGCGCAACAGCCCCCTAATGGGATTGAATTCTCCCGAATCCTTCCGACGAAGACCTCCTAGTAGTTACTTCCCAAGAGGTTTTCGGGGGCAGCCCGGTCGTAGAACTGTTCGAGAGGGCGCCTGGGTGGCGCCCGGAGGAGCAGGTCCAGGACGCGGTGCGCCACTGGCTGCAGAGCCTCTTCGCCTCCGGCGCGGCGCTGTCGCCCGAGCTGGGCGTGGAGCCGGAGGTGCTGGAGGAGGTCATCTCGCGGCGGCTCGGGCGGGTGGTAAGGGGGGGGGACCCACACGGGGGGTGAAGGAAAGGGGCCTAGGGTCCCTTTTGGGCCCCTGCCAGCTCCAAGAGGGGCCCTCAAGTGCCCTTCTTATTGCCCTGTTCTTCACCACGCCCCACTTGCCTGGATCCCCCCCCCACTGGAGGGGGCGGGCAGTGCGAGGGAGGCGGCCGCCGTGGAGAGGCGTCCCGCCTTCCGAGACGCTCGCGTCGTGAACAGGGTCACGGCGTGAGGGTGTTGGCCGCTTCTGGCTTCTGGGGGCCCCCGCATGGCCCCGGGGCTGTTCACAATCGACTCTCAAGCAGTGGCGAAGCGTCCTGGCGTGCCCATGTTCTAAGAACGCTGCTTCTGTTCTTAGAACATTTCTGGGTTCTGAGACATCTCGTGGTAGGCCTATAGGGATGCCGGGACTTCGGGGGCCCGTATTGAGAAGATGATTGGGATCGTCCACAAACGACCCGGGCTGGGTCTGGACTTCTGGGGGCCCCGTGTTGAAAAAATGCCGGATGATTAGAGGTTGACACACCAACACCAATGTGAGTGGTGTGCTTCCACCAACACCAAAATCTGGGATCATCTTCCCCCAGTGGAGGCAACCCCCTGTTTTATTGAATCGCTTCGCTCATTCCGTCGGCCCGTATTGTGCCATCGCGGGGTCTTGGGGGGTCTTGGGAGCCCTTGGAAGCTTCGTGGGAGCTTCTTAGGAACTTTGGGAGGCCTCGTGGATGGCTCTGGGTGGGCTCTCTTGGTGGTCTCTTGGGGGGGTCTGCCTGGCCTCTTGGGGGCCTCCTGGGAGCTTCCTGGGGGTCTCTTGGGGGCCTCTTGGGGCTTTCTTGCGGCCTGTTGGGGGCCTCTTGGGGCTCTCTTGGGGGCTTCGTGGGGCTACTTGGGGGCTTGTAGGGGCATTTCGGGGGCGTGTTTGGGCGGGAGGCTCAAAATTTCCGTTCAGGTTGCCCCTGTGGACCTCAATCATGGGGCCGTCTTGGGGCCTCTTGGACCGTCTTGAGGGTTTCTTGGGCCTTCTTGGAGCGCTCTTGGGCCGTCTTTGAGCGGTCTTGAGGGTCTCTCGGGCCGTCTTGGGGTGATCTTGGGGGCCTCTTGGACCGCCTTGACAGGTGTGAGAGACGAAGAGGCGGATATGTTAAAAATGCACGCTTTCCTCAGGGAATGAGACGATTTTTGTTTGTGGGAGCCCTCTTGGGGCGCCGCTTAGGGACCTCTTGGGGCGTCTTGAAGGCCTGTTGGGCCGTCTTGAGGCCATCGTAGGCGCTTGGGGATGCTATTTCGGCGTCTCCCGGCTCTCTTGGACCGTCTGGAGGGCTTCTCGGGCCCCTCTTGGACCGATTTGGAGCCCTCCTGGGCTCCGAAAAAAAAGTTCTTGAGGGTTTCTTGGGCCTTCTTGGAGCGCTCTTGGGCCGTCTTTGAGCGGTCTTGAGGGTCTCTCGGGCCGTCTTGGGGTGATCTTGGGGGCCTCTTGGACCGCCTTGAAAGGTGTGAGAGACGAAGAGGCGGATATGTCAAAAATGCACGTTTTCCTAAGGGAATTGGACGATTTTTGCTAGTGGGAGCCCTCTCGGGGCGCCGCTTAGGGACCTCTGAGGGACCTCTTGGGGTGTCTTGAAGGCCTGTTGGGCCGTCTTGAGGCCATCGTAGGCGTTTGGGAGTGATATTTCGGCGTCTCCCGGCTCTCTTGGACCGTCTGGAGGGCTTCTCGGGCCCCTCTTGGACCGATTTGGGGTCCTCCTGGGCTCCGAAAAAGAATTCTTGAGGGTTTCTTGGGCCTTTTTGGAGCGCTCTTGGGCCGTCTTTGAGCGGTCTTGAGGGTCTCTCGGGCCGTCTTGGGGTGATCTTGGGGGCCTCTTGGACCGCCTTGAAAGGTGTGAGAGACGAAGAGGCGGATATGTTAAACATGCACGTTTTCCTAAGGGAATGGGACGACTTTTGCTTGTGGGAGCCCTCTTGGGGCGCCGCTTAGGGACCTCTTGGGGCGTCTTGAAGGCCTGTTGGGCCGTCTTGAGGCCATCGCAGGCGTTTGGGAGTTGCTGATCGTAGTGACTGTGTGTAGTCAAGCGCGGCCCTAGTGGGCCCCTTCTGAAGTATTGGAGGCCCAGCTGGGCCTGGATGTGCACTGTGCGTGTTGAGTCTGTATCGCAGCATTTGGCTTGCCTCTGGTGAGGAAAGGTGGGGCGGGGGCCCCACTCTCGAAGCCATCTGCATTGGTAGAGCGGAGCGGGCCGCGCAATAGCAGGCGCTGTTGCAGGGAGGCACTCAGGCGAGTGCCGGCGGTGCGCAGCCAGATGAACACGGACGCTGGGCAGACTGGCGGCATCAGGAGATTTGCCGGCAGTTCGTGTATGGAAGAAGTGGGCTCGGGCGTACATCATCGTGCAGCGGGCCAAGGGGGCGCCACCGACGGCCATGGGGCCGACGCTGTTCACGCTGCTGGACGACGTGGCGGCGCGTGCAATGGAGATCATCGACATGGACGACCTGGAGACGGAAGGCGGCGAGCAGGTGCTGTTCGACACGCTCGACGCGCGCTTCCCGGACGTCGCGGCACATGACAGGCTCGGCGAGGCGCTCCAGGAGGTGTTCTCGCTGAAGCTGGTGAAGAATGAGGCGACGGCGGCGTACTGCGGCAGGGCCCAGGCGACGTCCGCCAAGGGCGAGGCCGAGGGGGTCGCGCTGCCAGACATGGCTCGAGGCTATCTGCTGCTGCTGGGAGCGCATCTCCCACCACACTGCATGGCAGTGGTGCTCGCGGCATCGTCGAGATCGTACAAGGAGCGGGACGTAGCATCGGCACTGAGGACGACCTTCCCCAACGGTGCGACCGACTTCGGCCAGCAGCAGAAGTCCTACCACGCACACGTGGTTGATGACGAAGAAGATGGCCACCTGGACATCGAGACGCTGATGACTGGCTTCCAGGAGGACGAGGATGAGAACGCCGTCCTGGACGAGAGCGAGGCCATCGAGATTCTGGCGACGTGGCGCGACCAGCGCAACAATATATCCAAGGAACCGCTGCCGCGAGGGTTCGGACCAAAGAAGCCGGACATCAAAACCTCGGCGAAGCGAGTGCGATGCTACAACTGCGACGACGTCGGCCATTTCAGTCGGGACTGCAAAAAGCCAAAAAGACAGCGACGACCGCCACCCCGTGACGGCAAAGGCAAGGGCAAGGAGAAGGGCGTCAACGTGGTGTACACTGTCGAGGACGATCACGACAGCTTCGAGTGCGAAGTCTGCGAGGACGAGGTACAGATGGAGCTGCAGAACTACCAGGACGTTCAACCCGATGAGGTCAACTCCGAGGACGAGATGGACGCGGTCATCAGCGCGTACGAAGAGCTGGGGGAGGATGCGCAGGCCCTCATCCAGGAGTACTGGAGCCTCAGCGGTCAGAACGGCGACTTGGAGTTTCCGGAGGTACAGAATACGACAGCTCATGAGCCAGGAAACGGCGCCGTGGATACCCGACGCGGTAAGGGAGTGATCGGCGAGGAGACCCTGGCGCAGCACAAGCAGGAGATGATGAAAGCAGGACTGAAGGTGAATGTGCTAAAGCAAGAGAGGACCACGACGTTCAAGTTTGGAAATCAGGAGACTCTGTCGTCTATCTACTCGGTTGAGATGCAGTGCCGCGTTGGCGGAAGGATGTTACTCCTTCGGCTGTGCGCGGTGCCAGGCTGGACTCCCTTGCTAGTCAGCAAGCCGATGCTTAAAGCTCTCGGCGCTATCCTGGATATGGAGAGGGACGAGATTAGATTCACCAGGATCAACGTCGCGGTGCCGCTGAAGGTCGCCGCCACTGGTTACCAGCTGAACCTCTGTGGGATGAAGGACGGCGAGAATAAGAAGATTCAGACTGCAGAAGTCGATGTGATGGCAACGTCCGAGACGATCGAGCTGGAGGAGTCTGTGGAGGCTGCGGCGACTGGTTTTCGGTAGGGCTGGGTCGGAGCCCTGAGACCAGCGACGACGAGGTGGAGTCGGAGGCACTCTGGACCGCAGGAGTGACGGACATCATGAGTAGGAAGGCCAAGAAGGAGGTGGTTAAGGGTGCTAAGGCAGCACAGGCTCGGCTAGGGATGCAACCGAAGTGTCTGGAACTGTTCTCGGCGCCGCGGCTGACGGTGGAGTTCGAGAACCTGGGCTTCCAGAACCTCGGCGCCTTCGACCTGAAGGGCGGCTGGGGCGCCCGACGAGCCGAAGATAGGCACCGCATCCTGCATCTGATTGACGTGGAGGAGCCCGAGTTTGTCGGCATGAGCCCCCCGCGTGGCGCCTTGTCCATTCTGCAGAATCTTACGCCGGAGTCCAGCAGAAAGGGCCCAGAGGAGCATCGGAAGATGGTCAGGGAGGCCACCGGGCACCTGCGATTCTGTGTCGTGGTGGCAAAGATGCAGATCAGGAGGGGTAAGTATTTCACCATAGAAGCGCCACCAAATGCGAAGTCCTGAGACTGTGCTACCGTGTGGAATCTGTGCAACGAGAAAGAGGTACACCAAGTGTCAGTGAGTGGGTGTCGAGTCGGACTTCGCGATCCTGTCACGAGCATGCCGACGTCGAAGGAGTGGTGTTTCGCAACCAACGCGGACTCGCTGAAGTGGATGATGAAAGAGTTGCGCTGTCGCCGGGGCCACGAACATCAATGGTGCTGGGACAGCGTACAAGGCGTCAAGAGAAGTCAATATTCCGAGAGGTATCCGAAGGAGCTGAGCAAGAAGATCGCAGCGGCGATATTGTGCCAGTTAGAGGTGGACGACATCAGGTATCACACGGAGGTGCTCTCGGTGACGGAGGACCCCGAGATCGTAAAGAGAAGAAAGCTATCCTTAGCATCGTCCCTGCGCAGGCTCCACGCGAATCTGGGGCACCCGAGCAACGAGGACATGGTGCGCATTTTGCGGCGTGCGAAGGCTAGCGAGATGGTGATGGCGATGGCCCGGGGATTCGTGCTC